TCTGTTTTCTGCTTAACATCCACACAAAGCACATGTTCACACACCACTTACTGCACTCTCACTGCATGTCCAGTGTCTGGTTCATCTTATTTTTTCTCTAAGCATGGTGTGAACTGATTTGCATAGGGTAAAGACTCTAACCACCCCCACCCTCACCCCCCCACCCCCGTGTCCCCTGGTATGTAAACAAAAATAAATGAATTGAATTGCTGGTGTGAACAGCTAGCAGGGAAAGAGCTGTGAAATGCACTGAAAAAAGAACATTGTGCTCTAAGGCAGGGGTGTAAGCACACCTTAACAAAAGTAGGTGCCCGGCCTGCGTTTCAGTGTGTGCATTGTAATCCTGCTCTGACTGCTTCCTTTGTGACCTTCAGCCTCATCAATCTTGTTGTTGTTTAGTCATTTAGTCGTGTCCGACTCTTCGTGACCCCATGGACCAGAGCATGCCAGGTACTCCTGTCTTCCACTGCCTCCCACAGCTTGGTCAAACTCATGTTCGTAGCTTTGAGAGCACTGTCCAACCATCTCGTCCTCTGTCGTCCCCTTCTCCTTGGGCCCTCCATCTTTCCCAGCATCAGGGTCTTTTCCAGGGAGTCTTCTCTTCTCATGAGGTGGCCAAAGTATTGGAGCCTTAGCTTCAGGATCTGTCCTTCCAGGGGGCACTCAGGGCTGATTTACTTCAGAATGGAGAGGTTTGATCTTCTTGCAGTCCATGGGACTCTCAAGAGTCTCCTTCAGCACCATAATTCAAAAGCATCCATTCTTCGGCGATCAGCCTTCTTTATGGTCCAGCTCTCACTTCCATATATCACTACTGGGAAAACCATAGCTTTAACTATATGGACCTTTGTTGGCAAGGTGATGTCTCTGCTTTTTAAGATGCTGTTTTGGTTTGTCCATGGAGTTCTTCCAAGGCCATGAGGACAATTTGCCAGACACCTTTGGCGACCTGTTGGTGTTTATTGACCAGAGTCTCCTTTTATTCTTAGTGTTTTCCTATAGATTTCCCTCCCCATACCTAAATCTTGTTTGCTGTTGTTTTCTTGTACAGTATTATCTGTTTAATGATTGCCAAATGACTCTTCTGTGTTGACATGATTTTACTTTTGTAATTGGACTATTTATTTTTAATAGACCTCCCCCGCTGCTTCATAATTTAAATGCAATTATCTTAAAACTTTGACTCTCCAGAACACAAACCTTTTCCCGCCCCCATCTCCATCTGTGCAACTACAAAATATCCTAGTTAATGCAGTGAAAAAAGAAATGTTACAAATGTTTGTATGCATGCTGAGTGATTTTTTTTTCATGTGAAAAGAGATTATGTGTGTTGGGCAAAAAGCAAAACATCTCTGGCTATGACGCCTGTGATTTCCCCTCAGGCACATGATTGTGAGATAGCATGTGATTATGTCTATTTCCTAAATGATCTTCTGAGGAAAAGCCAAAGTAAAAACAAAAAGCAGATGTGCAATGAGATAACAGTTGCTCAGATACATGCATGTTTGCATGAAGGCAGTAAACAGTTCTTGCTTCTGTGACATCATTACAAGAGATGGATAAAGTAGCATCTTCAGCCACTTACCTCAAAGAAAATGAGTTACTTTAACAATGATGGTGGATCATTAAGCCAAAGTGTAGCCACTCAACTTGGAATTCAGAAATACAGCATGGACGCAACTTTTGCATAAACTAGCAAACCCTCCAAGTTTCCCTATTTTCCAGGGACAGTCCCAGATTTACAAAAGCTGTCCAGGTTTCTGATTTGATCCTGGAATGTCCCGCTTTTCCTTAGGCCATTCCTATTTTCATCAGAGAAATGTTGGAGGGTATGGAGTTAGGCTACCTCCCAAGCCAAGGAGATAAGTAACTATGCAACCTTTAGAAGACATCTGAAGGCAGCCCTGTATAGGGAAGTGTTGTTGTTGTTTTAAAAAAAGTATTATGTCTTATGTTTTTATATATGTTGGAAGCCTCCCAGAGTTGCTGGGGAAACCCAGTCAGATGGACGGGGTAAAAATAATAAAATTATTCTTATTCTTATTATGGAATAGGGTGCCCCAGGTTTACTCAGAGAAATGTTGGAGGATATGAAAGCGTGTTCTCCTTCATGGAGAGCACGTGTTGCAGTGGGGTCTATCAAGACATCCCACTGTTGCTGGGTGGGTGAAGGTAGTTGGCCACTGCTGTGATTGGGCTCCTCTTGTCGTTGGGGAGAAGTTGATGTTGCCATTTTGTGATTGACAGCCAGAACTCTTAAATTCCCTGCGCGCAGCGTTGAGCTGCTTCTTTTCGCTGCGTGCATCAGACCACCTGCCCACCCTCCCTATATTTAGGGTTGTTCGCATTGACCTTGCTATGCCTGTCATGGGGTCGTCTGCTTTTGGGGCAGGGGCCCGGTGGGAATTTTGTCCATTTGGCTGATTGGCTGGGAGCCATTTGGTTTTTGCCTACTGCGTAGCAAATCGTCACAACTTGTACGGTTGCGGTTAGGCATTGGTTTTATGAATTGTTTGGTGGAGGGGCATGGATTGGCTGTGCCTGCCCCTCCAATGCTGCTGCTGCTGCAAGGGTATTCCATTAAAGGAATACAGGGGCTCACCATGCTTTTGTCCAAACCCCTGGCAAGGGGCTAGGGCCACGCAAGAGTCCATGGGAACATTTGGGGAGAGGTGAGGGCATGGTGCCCAGCTCCATCTTTCTCCCCAAATTGTTTTCCCTTTCTGACTTTCGCGGGGTGTGCAAATGTCAGTCTGTCCCTGTGCCTAAGCACACTCGCATTTTTTGTATTTTAATAAAGTTGTGGCCAAAATTATGCCAAAAACCTTAAACAAAAATTCTGTGTGAATTGTGTTTTATTGGGGTGGCTTGGGGACCTTGACATGCAACTAGGTCAGTAGTGGACAGACACCTTGTTTAATGGGGCTATTCAGAGTGGGAAATCCATGCCCCCATTACCTGTTGTTTGCTCCTGTGTTGAGCAGTGGAAGAGCAAGGAGCTGGGCTAATCTGATTAGTCTTGCCCTGACATCACACACTCCTTCCCCAGGTGTCTGCTGCAAACACAGAGCAAACACCTGCAAAGATTCGGGCCTTTGCCTGCACAACTGTACATGCCAAGGCTTACGCAGAATGGTTCCAGAATCTGGGGAGGTCTTTGTGTGTACAGCTTTTCCTTACAAAGGTGAATGCTGAATCCTCAGGCATTGTGAGAGGAACGTGTGATGCTGTAGTGTATCTGCTCTGCACAGGAGCCCTGTCGCTTGCGAAAAATCATTTGTGTCATGAAGATGCATGTAACATAACAAGGTTTTCATTAACATGCTGGATGCCAGAATAAAGGTAAAAAAGGTAAAGGACCCCTGGATGGTTAAGTCCAGTCAAAGGGGACTATGGGGTTGTGGCACTCATCTCGCTTTCAGGCTGAGGGAATTGGCGTTTGTCCACAGACAGCTTTCCGGTCATGTGGCCAGCAGGACTAAACCGCTTCTGGTGCAGCGGGACACTGTGACGGAAGCCAGAGCGCAAGGAAACGCCGTTTACCTTCCTGCCGCAGCGGTACCTATTTATCTACTTTCACTGGTGTGCTTTCAAACTGCTAGGTTGCCAAAATATACTTGGGTTAAAAGAGGGGACAGCATTTCTTCTCAAAACACTTGTGAGCCCTTGAGAAATCTTTGGGGACTAAAACTATGAAAGCTGAATCGTTAAGGATTTGGGCTTTTTGCAAATTTGCCACAGAGAATCCTTTGTGTCCCGTTATATTTTCAAATATATGCATGCTACCATGAGACCTAGAACTTTGTTGTTGTTTTTTAAGGTACAAGAGTCCAAATTTTCAGGACTTTGAAAATCTGTACTTCACAATCCTTATTTTATGGTATACAAAAAGATTGGTCATTTATGTATCAGTGTACTTCCTAATTTGGGTGTATAATGTGAAAAACTGGATTTATTTCAGGAATGTTTGATTCATCATCGTTATTTCTTGTCAGCTGCCTGGATTGCTTGTCAACCGCTCAGAGGTTTTATTACAATCAAGCAGTATATAAATTTTGTTAGATAATAATAAATATGTACATTATTGGTGTTTTCTTCATAGATGGACAGAGACAGCAAAGTAGGATGATAAGAGACATGTTACAGTGTCCTCATTACAACATGTTCGTGAATCAGGATGTATTTTCTGGTGATATATTTATTATTTGGTCAGCATATTTGCATCATCATTTGCATTCAGACACTTGAAGAAGGAAGCTCTTGGCTCCATTTAAAAGAAGAAGAGGTTTACATACTCTTATCCAACTAAAACCAGTCCATTTGAGGCTGTTATTTCACCAACTCGTACAAACTATAGCACTCTGGGTTTCTTTTCCTCTTCCTCCTTCTCTTCTTCTTCTTCTGTTTTCCCTACCACCACCACCCCAAAAAAAAACCACATTCAGCACTTGCTTTTGCAAAGAGTCTTTCTGGGCTTGTTGTTGTTTAGTCGTTTAGTCGTGTCCGACTCTTCGTGACCCCATGAACCAAAGCACTCCAAGCACTCCTGTCTTCCACTGCCTCTCACAGTTTGGTCAGACTCATGTTTGTAGCTTCGAGAACACTGTCCAACCATCTCATCCTCTGTCGTCCCCTTCTCCTTGGGCCCTCCATCTTTCCCAACATCAGGGTCTTTTCCAGGGAGTCTTCTCTTCTCATGAGGTGGCCAAAGTACAGCATAATCAGAGAAGAAAGCACAAAGTTAAGCCATGACCTTTGTCATTCATCACCTAGGAGTGCATATTGGATATTCAGGGTGCTGAAGAGCTGTCAGCTTGTTGTTATTTTCAAACAAAGCAGTGCTCCTGCTGCAGAAAGATGTAGGTCAGATGTGTTGCCATGACCCTTGATTACACAAGGAAGTACAGTATGCAGCTGCTTTGTTTTGCGTTTAGAATGCAGAACAACTGAATGCAAAAGTAGAGCCCGCAAGAGTAACAATGAAAGAGAAACCACAAGCACTTCATTTCCCGAAAGAAGGCTGGCATCTATCCAACCACTTTCTTCAGAAAAGCTAGTTATCGGAGTTCAACATTTTATTCATGAGAGAAGACTCTGGCAATGAAGCATGATACCTTGTTCCTCGCTGGCTGTCTCAAGGCACATACATCAAGGAGGCACGCTTTTGCCTGGGACAACAAATTCCACTGTGAAGGAGATCGGCCTTAAATCTTGAGGTGAATATAATTCTGATACAGAACATCAGTATTTCTAATATGCTCTAGAACAAATAATTTGTCTGGATTGTCAGGCAGCTCTCTTGGAAAACATGAGATGTGAAGGGAATTGGTGGAGATTTATCATGGCCAAATCTTTAAACAAGGAAAGCAACATGTGTGTGTGTGTAAATTTTTATGTGTTTATTGACATTATGCAGTGGGCAGAAGCTAGATCAGAATCCACTGGTAGATCTCTAGGTGATTTGCAGTAGATCAGACCCCCAGTTGTCTAACAGCCTCCCCCCAATCTAAAGTAGGGATGTGTGTCCATTATACCGTTAAAACACATTATTTCCCTCAAAGAATTATGGGCACTGTAGTTTGTTAAGGGATGGTTGGAATTTTAACTTTGTGAGGGGTAAAGTACAGTGCCCAGTATTCTAGGAGGGGGGATGTAGGGTTGCCATATGTCCTCTTTTTCCAGGACCTGTCCTCTTTTCCAGGAGTAAAATTTCTGTCCTGGTAGATTTTTGGAATTTGCCAAAACGTCCTCATTTTTTTCTTTGGTACTAAAGGGAGCATGTGTGTGCTTGGGAATTGCCATTCCGGGAGTGTTAAATTGGACAAGAGCTGATTCAGACATGCATGTTTGGTTATTCTTTTACTTATTTTCAACAGTTGTCTCCTTCTTTCCCATAAAAGAAAACTAAATCAAGGTAGCAAACAACATGATAGGAAATTAAAACAATATCAAACAATCAAATGCCTACAATAAGGCTAAAACAACAATAAACTCGAAGTCATATGCTGGAGGGGGAACCTGCTCATCAAAAGGAGTACTGTGATGAGGCTGAAGTTCCTTTCTTGTCGTCAACATCAGAAAGCCCCCATCCCATGACACACATACTGTGCTTAGGATGGAGGGGGAACAGGGCCTTAGAGAATTATCTCGATAATGAAGCTGAGAGCCAACATGACACACTGGTTAAAGCTTCTGGGCTGAGCCCATAGGTCCATAACGAGGATCCTGCAGGGTCAAGGCATCTTTCTTCTTCTTTGGCGATCACTCGTAGCCGAGTAAAATAGTCATTCCATAAACACGGTTTTAAAAGTGAGTCAGTAAGAGACTGTGGAGGCCAGTTCTGGACCCACACATCCTTCCACAGTGGGGACATACCGGTAGGTTTCCGGGTGGGAGTTGATCACTGTGAGGGTTTGCCAAACGTGCCTTCCTCTTAGCACGCTTCTCCCTTTTGTCCTGAGTTCGAGCTTCTTCAAAGTCCAAGGCACCTTTGGTAAAGGCTGTTCTCCAATTGGTGCGTTCGCAGGCCAGTGTTTCCCAGCTGTCAGTGTTTGTTTATACTACATTGTTAAAGATTTGCCTTGAGAGAGTCTTTAAACCTCTTTTGTTGACCACCAGCATTACGCTTTTCATTTTTAAGTTCAGACTAGAGTAGTTGCTTTGGAAGACAATAATCATACATCCAAACAACATGACCATGTTGAAGAATCATTGCATCCAAACAACATGACCAGTCCAACAAAGTTGATGTTGAAGAATCATTGCTTCATGGTGATCTTTGCTTCTTCCAGTACGCAGGCATTATAGGGCTATCTAGGCAAGCATCTTCTCTCCCACATCCCTCTCCGCTCTCCGCCCCAGGCCTCTTCTTTGCTCTTCAAAATATGGCAACCCTAGAATAGTGTGTACTTATTTGGAATGTGCTTTGAAGTTGGTGTACACAGCCACAACAGAACCCTATGATCAGGAGTAGACTGCGGTGGAAAGGACCTGTGGTTCTGCTACTGATCACAACTTTTTGCCCTGAGTTTGTGCCCAGGGCATCTTCATTAATTCCTAATGTATGTCTGCTCTTTCCCATTGGTAGACTACAGGGTGGTAGTAAAAAAAATTCCCAACGAAGTCCCAAAAAACCAACGAAGTCCAAAGTCTGCCCCTCCTTCCCAGTTTTTAGACTATCCCATGACAAATGTTCTTTTATCCCATGACAGCTTTATTGTTGTCGTGTGTGTGTGTGTGTGTGTGTGTGTACTCACACACACAGAGAGTACATTTTTAATTGGGTTTTTTATTGTTGTCGGCCATGTTGTCAGCATTGTTTATGGAACGGCAAGGTACAAAGGTGATAAATTAATAAGCTAGCTGTGCAGAGCAACACATCCAGGTAAAGCTACAGACCGCTGTCCGTGTTAAATGTTCCACCTGGCCAGTTCAAGACTTGCTGCACACATCTGCAGCAGCATGGGCTGTGCGCATGGGAATCTGGTGCCTCACAGCAGCGGCTCAGAAAAGGTAGGGGAAGCAGTGGTATTCTCTAAGCAGTAGCGGTTCTGTGCTGATGGGCAGGGGTGCCAATTTGGCCCCATGATCGTGGGTGCCCACAGCCGTGGTTGCCATGCAGCATGCATGGCCCTGGCACCAAAATTTGTGGGTGCCCGGCTCCTTCATGGGGGCACCTATGCTGATGGGGATAGGTCAGGGGAGTTGGTGGCAGCAAAGTCAGCAGAACTCCTGGTTGGAGTTCTCCTTTCCCCCTCCTTTCTCCTTTTTACCCTTAAACTCAAAAGTGACAAGTAAGAACGGTGGGCAAATTGCTGAGTGAGATCTATACTGTTTTTGGGTTGTCCCCTCTGTTCCCTTTGGGGAATTTGCATGAAGCATAGGTTGGGCAATTCAAAGCAGAGGTCGAGGTGAAAAAAAATGAGTTTCCAATCTTACTTGGCCTGCTCTCTCTCTTTATCATTCATGGCAGCATATTTGAGTCAAGGAATGTGTGCTTCTCAGCATGTGCAGAAGCTGCATCTGGAGAAGATATGGGGCAGGCTCATGATATAATTAAGATTAATTAATTAATTAATTAATTAATTAATGCTAACTATTGAATATGAGCGTAGCTCAGTCCTGCATTTCCTTGCTTTTCAGCGCAAGGTAGCCTGATCAGGATGTGCTCTGAAGATCCTACCTCAGATGGCAAATATCGGGTGTAGCATTAAGGTGGAAAATGTAAAATAGATCTCATCCTTTGGCCCCGAATATTGGTGCCCCTTGCAGTGGTGGTGAGGGTTCAGCCTCCAAATTGGTTTCCTTGCATCTCCCCTGTCCGAGACCACACCACTGTTGTTGGTTCTTGGCTCAAAACCAATATCAAAATGCATTTAAAAATGTATATTTTGAGAGAGAAAGGTTTCAAAAAAAGAAGAAGAAAGATCGTATTTCCCCGTGTATAAAACGATGGGTATTTTTGCTAAAAAAATAGTCAAAAATTGAGAGTCGTCTTATACATGGATGGTGAATGCACAAGGGTTCGGGTTCTGGCTCTTGAAATACGGCAACCCGAACTATTTTTAAATTTGTGGTTCCAGAAAATTAGGGGTCGTCTTATACATGGGAGGAGTGTCTTATATATGGAAAAATATGGTATATAGAAAGTTAAGTTTAAAGTACAGTAATATCTCAGCAAACATCCATTCTAGTGAATGTTCGCGGCAAACTCGGAAGTACTGGAACGGGTTACTTCTGGTTTTGCCGCTCACGCATGCACAGAAGTGTTACATCGCGCTTTGCACATGCGCAGAAGCTTAAACCGCTCCATGCGCATGCGCAGACGCGGCGCTTTGCCCTGCGTCCTTTTCGGCTAGCGGCCAGGGCTCCGGAATGGATCCCGGCCGCAAAACAAGGTACGACTGTACATATTTAAGTGTGATTTTTGTGTGAGAGAGATCACACACACATGGTGATTAATGTGGCTATGGGATGAGAGAGACTTACGACTAAACACATATGCAAGCGATATGGATGAAAAATAGGCTGATTCATCCATTCCTGGTTGTCACGCCCTATACTAGCTGACATCTCCAGTTGTAATGCAGCTAGATCAGTTCCTGTTGGTTAGAACATTTATTCTTGGAAGGCTGCATGAAGCATACATGCCATTTTGGAGTTAGCCAAGTATGTGTTCATGGAGCTTGGCAGGGGTGGGGGGCGAGTCTAGCAACTTTGGCACCTTATTACTTAAATTGCAAATTTTATGGAACAATGACTTCCCTTTTTCTCTTTCCATGGTTCATTTTACCTGTCATGCATCCCTGCATATTTTACTATAACCTTTCAAATCAGTTTTCCACTTTTACATCCATCAAAAATTATTTGCTCTGTTGAATTTATCTCAATGCTGCCAGTGCTTTCAGCTGTATACAGTTATTTTCCATATATTCAATAAATGTTTTCCACCCTTCTTTATATGTATGTTCTTCTTGCTCTCTTATTCTATTTGCCAAATCTGCAAGTTGTGCATATTCTGTCAATTTAAGCTGCCAATCCTCTTTAGTTGGTGTTAGGTTGTGGGTGAACATATCAGACGACACAGCGATTCTTCAAACAGCTCTTGCTTATTCACAGGCCAGGATAGAACTGAACTGAAGGGTCCAGTCAGCCTGCTTATATAGAGCTCCAGTACAATGTAACTGTAACAATTTTCTAAAACTATCCAATCACTGAACGTCACTTTCGATCCCTTATTTGCATAACTATCTACAGTATCCCCCTGCTGGCCCAGGGTGAGAACTTCAGTACATATAACAGTTGGGACTTCGCTCACTTTCCATTTTGGGGCTAACAAAATATGGGCCGCAGTTGTTGCATACATAAATAATTTTCTCTGACATCTAGGAATTTCAGTCTGGGTTATCCCCAACAAAAAGGACTCTGTTTTGGGGAGCAAAGTAATTTTAAACATTTTTTTCAATTCATTATAAATCATTTCCCAATGCACTTTTACCTTTTTACATGTCTACCACATGAGAAAAAACATTTCCTCCATTTCTTTACACTTCCAACACATATCTGATTCTGTTTCATCAATCTTAGCCAACCTACTCGGAGTTAAGTACCATCTATTAATCATTTTCAGGTAATTCTCTTTCAATGAATAACATGCAGTAAATTTCAGGTCACTTTTCCAGAGTTTCTCCTAGAGGTTGAGCTCTGTATTGTGTCCTATATCTATTGCCCAGTGTGTCATTGAAGCTTTAGCCAGCTCATCTTTTGTTTCCCATTCTAGTAGAAAGTTATACATTTTAGACAAAAGTTTATCCATATTTTGTAAAAGTTCTTTTTCAAATTGTGAGCCATGTGTATTGTGTTTCTTACCCACCCGGAAGGGGTTACAGCAAAGCAATGAGGCAATTTAAAATCAGATAAAACTAATACTTAATACATCATCGAAAGTACAGTTTAAAACAGAGAATAAGGTCAGGTTCAAAACATGTATCTCAGCTGTCAAATTCTCTTCTTTTAGGGGTATATTACTGAATCATAAAGACATGCATTCTTTGGCAGAGCAGTTGTTTATATGCCACAATGTAGGATGTTTATCATGTCAACATTGCTTTTCAGATATGTCTAGGCAAATGTCCAAACTGCTGCCAGTTGTGCTACTGGAAATCCAGCTTCATATGATTGCAGGTGAGAGCTTTCATTTGGGCAGGTTTACAATGAAATCCTCAAAGAGTTGTACATTTCCCTTTGGATTTGAAGTCTAAGAGCTTCAGAGCTACCTGGAAGGGTTGGGTGGGTCACACGTTCCTGAGTGCCAGGGTCAGAAAAAGTCTACCATTAACGAATATTCAGCCATTGTGGATGGTAGATTGCAATTCTTGGCTGCTGGGCACTTTCCTTGCACCTTTGCAGTCCGCAGGACATATTCCTGAGCCCTGAGATGGTCTTACTCAGGTCTTCGTCAGTTTGGTGTCCCAAATGGGTTGTCCCTTTGGTCTGTAGTAACAGCAATGGAATGTGTCCTCATGGGGCCCAGGACATGCAGGTGAGCCCAGCCTTGCAGAGTGGTTCAGGGAAGGTGGTGTGAGAAGGACCCCTGGGCTAGACAATCGTCCAACTAGGAGTGCCAATGTGAATTAAATTTTTGGAGGGCCCACTTGAGCCCTGCCCTGCAAAATCGATCACATGGCACGGCATGTCGCACATCTGTTGAATGACAATACCCATCATCTTTTTGGGGGGAGGGCAGGCGAAAGGTTGGCTCCTATGCGTCCAACAAAGAAAGAAGATGTCTACAATCTTCTCTCGTCTCTCTATAAGCATCCTGAATGTGTTAAATGCATAGTTACTGAATATGCATGAAATTGGTCTTATGGGAGTTTGAAGTTTGATCCTGGTTGTGTGAAAATACTTTCTTTACTCAAATACTTTCTTTAAAAACGGCAGCAAATCATGGCATGTTTTTACAGAAACTCATTTATTATTATTTTTTAAATGATATTTATTAAAGTTTCAAAAAAGGTTACAAAAATAGGGGGGGGGAAGAAAAAATACAAAATACAGAAAAGTAAAAACTCTTTAAAACAAATCAATCTTTCCATGTCTTGTCTTTCATTTACTTGTTTCCCTGACCTCCTCACACCTCCCTTTTTTGTATTCCAGTTCAGTTAGCTAATTCAGCAAATCCTTTCCCTCTTTGTTTTTATCCTAATCCTTTAACTTAATATATTGTAACTTTAGATTCTCACCTGTTAACAATCCATTTTTACATACTCCTTTGTAACATTGCTGCTAAAACCACTTAACTTCATTCTGACATCATTCTAACATTCATTAATTTTACAGTATTTCTGTAAATAGTCTTTAAATTTCTTCCAATCTTCTTCCACCAACTCTTCTCCCTGGTCTCGAATTCTGCCAGTCATTTCCGCCAGTTCCATATAGTCCATCACCTTCATCTGCCATTCTTCCAGGGTGGGTAGATCTTGTGTCTTCCAATACTTTGCAATAAGTATTCTTGCTGCTGTTGTAGCATACATAAAGAAAGTTCTATCCTTCTTTAACACCAATTGGCCAACCATGCCCAGGAGAAAGGCCTCTGGTTTCTTCAGAAAGGTATATTTAAATACCTTTTTCATTTCATTATAGATCATCTCCCAGAAAGCCTTAATCCTCATTTAAAGGGCCCAATTCTTCATTTCCTTTTCACTGTAGTGTGGTGACATTGGCATGGAAAGGGGCTACCCTACCTGATTCCTCCATGTAGAAAGCAGTCATGTCAGTAAGTTGTGAACAAGAAGAAGACATACCAACCAGAAATACACACACTGTTGATATCAGACTTACTGGACTTCTTCTGTTCCGCATAAATCCTGGTGCTTGCATGATAAGATACTCATGCTTTGTTTCAACCTCTCAGCTTTATTCACAGTCAAAGTTCTTCAGCCACGTTACACTGCGGAGTACGGGAGTGATGTGATTATGGGATGTCGCTTTCCAGTCCATTCCCCATTAAATTTGATGGGACTAAGTGTCTCGTGGCAAAGAAAGCTGTCACTGGGGGACAAAGAAGTCTACAAGCTCAACAATGGCCAAGAAGACCTCACCCATCAGGATTCTGATTATCATGGGAGAGCGTCATTGTCGCGTGAGGAGTTAGGCAAAGGACTTTCTTTGTTGTCTATCACCAACATAAAGCTCACAGATGCAGGAGATTACATCTGTGTTGTTAAATACGAGGGAGCAGACTACAAGTACATTACTTTGGAAGTTGAAGGTTGGTAGCTGCAGAACTTACAATATATATATTGTAATACTGTATTATTGCACCCAAGCAGTGAGAATCTAAGAGAATGATTTGCAGCCTTAGTTTCCTCTGGAGGCAAGAATGCTGAACACACTCTGTCATTTTAATCCTTTGTTTCTTAACAAAGGAACTGATTAACACTTTCCACAGCTTTGAACTCACAGAAAAGGGCTCCTATGTGTATACAGCTGTATGCAATGGTGGTTGTTCCACTAGATCTACATCTTTCCTATCTTTTAAAAAAGTTAATTATACTTCTTTCCTATCTTTTAAAAAAAAAAGTTAATTATTTGCAGTTATTTATGTGAGAATTTGGAGAAGAAAAAAGAGTGGCTTCTGCATGTGCTGCAACTTTCAATATGTGTGTGTTATTGGAATTGCAGCGTTAGTACTGTATGTGTCTCTAGGTTTGAGAGAAGTATGCAGAGTTTGCAATTCTGTTTCCCGTCAGGAAAACTAACCCCCTGCTAACCTCCTGGCCCAAGCAGGATAAGCAAAGCAGAAAGCCTTGGCTTCTTGTTATGCCTGAACTAGATCTCCCGGTTTGTTTCTTCCAACGTATTTTAAAGATGTGCACATTAAATGCAAGATGTATGCAATGTCCCTTCTTGCTTAGTTCAAAGCATGGGTCTTCTATTATGCCATGATTGTGTAAATCAACCAAAAGGAAGAGAAATGGGAAAAGTGCCACCAAAATACTGCAAAGCGCTCTGTGATACTGTCCTCCACTTCTTGCAGCACCCTACAAAAGAATCAATCTACAGGAAAGAAGAGATGAAGAAGACTTGATCTTAGCTTGCCATTCAGAAGGGTACCCTCTGGCTGAAGTTTCTTGGCACTATGAGAGGGATCTGAATGCCAGCATACATGCAAACACTACATTTGAAATGACAAGGGATGGACTTTTCAACATAACCAGCATCCTGAGAGTCAGACCAAGCACTCCTGGAAACTACAGCTGTGCATTCTGGAATCAGGAACTGAATCAGGAGACATCAGCCCACAAATCAGTGGTTTTGCAAGGTAAAAACTTGTGTGGTTTCACATTAATCTGTAGCACGCCCCTACAATCAGCTGGTCCCAAGGGTGAGTTAAATACCAATATGCACTATCACCAAGATGTACCAATGGATCCTCTTGTTATCATCACAGCACCTGGTGATTTTTGTAGCGTTAGCTCACTGTCCGTACAAGAAACAGCTTCAATTGCAGGGAGAATTATTTTACATATTTTACATACATATTTTAATTTTCTTGTTTACAGATAAAACACCTCCAGCACATAACAGGGGGAAATCTCCCCTCTTATTCATCCTACCAATTTGTCTGCTGGCATTATTTTTACTAATAGCAATTGCCATTAAAGTCCAAAGGAGCAAGTCAAGCACAAAGCTGAGTACCCGAAAAGGTGAGAGACTATGGCAAGACTCGGGCTCTTGCGGTTATTTCTGTATGTGTGGGGTTTACTATATATTTATAATCTACTGGAAGCCGCTTTGGAGATATCTCAATCAAAAGGTGGAGTATAAATCATCAAAGCTAATGAACAATTAACTTTGGTCATACAGACGCTGAAATTAAATGTGTCTAGTCTGTTTATGAATTAGGGGAGCACCACCCAATTTGGGGGTTGTCCAGACTTCCACTTGTCCCTTTGCCTAGAAAGTATAGGTCCAAGTGATTTTGCCTTTACCTTGCAGATTTCCCTAGGAAAACCCACTCTTTACTGCTGAATCGGAACAAACAGCATTCTGTAGAAAACCCATTGCCATTGGTTCCATATTCAGCAAAGAGCTGGTTTCTCTGGCGGGAAGCAGTAGGACACACAGAAGTGTGGGCCAGCCCTTGTTTGCTTCTGGTTGTTAGAGTTGTACAACGAAACTCCCAGATCTGGACTCTTGTGCAGAAATGAATTTTATTTACCACAAGAAATGAGTTTTAAAGCTTTACTGCGGGGGGTGGGTTGGGTAGGGGTAGTCAACCCAACGTTTAAACATTGCAAAACGACTCCAAAAAAAGATACATTGCAAACCTAGCAATGGCTCAGCTCCATACAGTATTTCTCCCTCTGGTCCCAGAGAGAACTTAATCAAAATGCATCTGTCTCCTTTCTCTGCCTGTTGACATCTCTCTCTGTCTGTGTCTCTCTGTGTTGCAAGCAGACACATTTGCATGTAAAGACTCAGAAGTCAGATCTCCTGTTGAGTCATGGTGCAGTCCCAGGACTGCCTACAATACCCAGCAGAAAAACACCAGGGCAAGAGGCAAGGGGGTGGCAAGGCTGGCAGTGTAAAGAGACAAGCAGAGACCATCAGGTGTTCCCACTGGGGCACTTGTATTGTGTCGTCCTCCATTCTCCCTTTCTACCTAAGCAGCAGCAATGGGATTGACTAGAGCAGGGCTCGGCAAAGTTTTTGTGACTTGGGCCGGTTCACAGTCCCGCAGACGTGCCGGGGGGCCGGGAGTGCGCATGCACTCATGCGAAAATGCTGTTTCCGGCACTCCTTCTGGCATGGGGGTGTGCTGGCCAGCATCGTGGAAGGCGGTCCCTGCTCTGCTGCGCACTGGTTTAGCGCATAGCTGTCAACTTACAGATTTGAAAATAAGGGACCAGCAGCCTCGAAAATAAGGGAGCAGCAGCCAAAATAAGGGATTTTGCTTAGCTTACGGGTTCCATCAGCCCTCCCCCCCCCCGAGAGGGAGGAAGAGAGACTCTCGTGCACGCCGCCCGTGAGCCCGGCATGAGGTGGTTGCGGTGCCGCGGCGGTCGCTAAAGCGCCGCCCTTCTGCATCCCTCCCCATCCCCTCCTCTTCCTCCTCCCTCAGGCCGCCTCCTCAGCCGCTGCCGCCGCTGCTGCCGCTGCCGCCTCCGGCTTCCCCTGGCAGCGCGGCAGACGTCTCGCAGGAGAGGGGCTGCCTGCCCACCCACCGCCACCCGTCTCCTCACGTCGCGCCCCTGAGGGGGAAAAGGGAGAGACGGAGATGCGGCAGCTCGTGCGCGCGCTCTCTCAAGGCGGAGGACCTAGAGCCGCTGCTTCCCTCCTGAGCCGGGCGAGCATGAAAGCCGGGAAATTTAAGGGACATCATCTGTCCGGGACAGCAGCAAGACACAGCGATGGGATAAGGGAGTTTCCCGCCAAATAAGAGACAGTTGACAGCTATGGTTTAGTGTGGCACACGGGAGCCGACTGAGTGGGTGGGGGGGTCCCCAAGCGGACAGCGGGGGTCCATGGGCTGGTTAGACGACCCCCATGGGCCGCTTATGGCCCATGGGCCTTAGGTTGCTGCCCCTGGACTAGAGGTTGGGTCAGTGTTTCTTTCCAGCAGGCTGCCAGCTCAGTGCTGGATTTACGTATAAGCTAAACAAGCTACAGCTTAGGGCCCCACTCTCTTGGGGGCCCCAAAAAAATTTAAAGGGGGGGAAAACTGGATGTGCATTTCCAAAATATAAGATAAAAAACAAATAAAATAAAACCTACATACAGCAACAGTGTTTTCTGTTGTATAGGCTCCTATGATGTAAGTTATTTGCCCCGCCTGCTAGTCCGCTCCCCAAAATATCACTGGTTTGCTCATTTCTATATATAGGGTGCCTACATTCTGCATGGACTGGTTGCATGGCAACATGCGCAAATAGCTTTAGATACCTATGAGGTCCATAAATTACCATATAGCATATATTCAACACAAAAAGCAGCAACAATTTGTTGTTGACAAAGGACAGCTGGATATATAAAGGGCCCCATTACCTTCAGTAGCTTAGGGCCTCATCAAACCTTAATCCTGCCTTGCACCAACTACTGCATTCTAACCCTCGCTAGCCAATGGATCTGTTGGTAAGGGTTGCCCAAGAAGAAATAAACAAAGCAACTTAATAATGACTATTTCCAAACTCTTGGCTTTCAATGGAACTTCTTAGCCACAACTGGTTTTAGGATCTCCTCCTCCTCCTCCTCTGCCTTCTCCTTCTGTGCGATAGTATTTGGAGTGTTAATAAAACCGAAAGTGTTTTGGGGCATTTCCAGATTTCTCTAGGAATAGATAACAGGAAATATCTAAGGACAGCTACTTCCTATTGTGGGGATTTACAGTTTCACTGATGTTTTAGCACGATGATAGATTTGCTAGCGTATGGTTGCTAGAAGTCCCCCTTTCCCGGGGACAGTCCCCGGATTTAAAAATTTGTCCCCAGACAAAATCCGTCCCCAGAATGTCCCCAGATTTCACTTAATGTCCCCTGATTTATATTTTAAGTGTTGTAGATTTATTAGTAGGGAATGAAGGTTGCGTGGTTGGTTCAACGGCACAAGACACAGCATATGGGGACTTCCGGTGAGGCAAAATGGCGGGTGCCATGGCAGTGAGCAGCTCCTGAAGGCAACCAGAGCCAACTGCGCTACCAGGCTGGCTCTGGGCTGCTGAGGCTGCCGCTGCCACCGCCACTGCCAAGGGGAAACCGGGGGCGCCTGGCGCGTCAACTGGGGGAACCGCTGACACCACCCCATGACCCAAATTGAGCCTGGAGCAAGAGCACCCGGCCGACTTTCCAGCAATGCTCCAGGGCCAGGAAAACTCTGGAGAAGGGAGAAGGAGGAGAGAAGAAGGAGAAGGAAGAGAGAGAAAGGGGAAGGAGAAAAAAGAGGGGAGCCCTGACCTTGCAGCGCCACTGCCGCTGAGGAGGAGAGGTAGGAGAGCACTGGGAGGGCAAGGACATGTGGCTGAGCCCAGGCCCGACCCGAGCCTACTCCATGGTGGCTAGTGCTCCAAGAGAGAAGCCCAGAGGAAGGCCACGCAACAGAGGAGACCACAGAAGAGAAGATATTACTTCTTTTTAAACCCCCCCCCTTTTCAAAAAAAAAAAAGTGTCCCCAAATTCTTTGAAAAAAATCTGGTAACCTTAGCTAGCGTTGCTTGCAAAATGCCAAGCTCGGAAGCTCTCTTTGTATAATCTTGCATGTTTCTAGGTAAACACCTACCAACATTTTGTTCGCTTTTCATATTTCTTCCCAGGAAAACGAAGAAAATTCCGACAGTTTTTAAAGGGTATGTAATTTTGATATAATTCTCTGGTACATTAAAAAAAAAAAAAAATTAAAAACCACACCTGCAGCTTTAAGCTAATCTCCAGCGAACTTTACGGCTAAGCGGAGATTTGAATCTCACTCAAGCCAGTCATAATCCAGTATGCTTCCACTGCACCACACTGAATCTTACTGGAAGGAAAAGGTCTGTGTTAGTTTGGGTTTCAAATTGGATTTGGGTCCACGAATTAGGCGATGCCCATATGTATCCTACCTACGGTTTCTCCTTACACATGGAGCATGAATGTGCATAAGGTAAAATGAAACTCAAGCTGTGTACATGTGGATTTGTGTGCTATTTCTCCCTTTTTTGGGGCAGAATGATTACACAAATCATATGAAACCCACATCTCATGTTACAAGCTCTCTCCACACCTTCATGTTGTATATCCCACCACCACCAAAAGATGTTTGGTTGCGGAGGGCGGGAATGTAAGATAGGACCCTTTTTTGTGGCAGAACCCAAGTTGTGTAATTCACTCCCTCAGGAGGTGAGACTAGCTCCATCCCTGATGGTGTTGAGGCAGGCTAATGTTCTTATTCCACACGGCTTCTAATGGTTGTTAAAAGAAGATGGAAGGTTTTCAACTCTGCTCCTTTTCCATTCGAGTTTTAATTTTTATTTCACCACTTTGTGGTTGTTGTTGTTGTTGTTTTAAAAAAATGCGAACCACTTTGAGAGGCAAAAAAGTTGTATAAACAAAAGAAGGGGTCTTTTCTGGTAAGTGTGTGAATTGGCCTTAGTTATTCTTATGAACTGAAGTGCTTGACTGAGATATGCCTTCCCACAATCTCAATTGCCCACTCAGAGGTGAATTTGCCTCCTAAATTGGCCGTAGGATGGGCCAGATTGGTATCGCCATCTGGTCCATCCTAATGCTGTTTAGCTGCTTCTCTGTTTATAAAAGTATTTACATACTGGCCAGTTCCTACAACAACAACAACAACAACATTTATTATTTATACCCCGCCCATCTGGCCAGCCACTCTGGGAGGCTTCCAGCAGAGTATTAAAATACAATGATTCAACAAATATTAAAAGCTTCCCTAAACAGTGCTGCCTTCAGATGTCTTCTAAAAGTCAGATTATTTCCTTGACATCTTATTTCCTTGACAGCTTATTTCCTTGACATCTGATGGGAGGGTGTTCCGCAGGGCGGGTGCCACTACCGAGAAGGCCCTCTGCCTGGTTCCCTGTAGCTTTGCTTCTCGCAGTGAGGGAACCGCCAGAAGGCCCTCGGTTGGACCTCCATGTATAGCAAAGTGTTGCATAATATATCCATGGTGATGTTATTGCTTCTGAAATCCATGGCATTGTTTCCATCCAAACTATCAATCTGTTCAGTCCACTCACCTTCTCAAGGGAGAAAGGAAAGGCATAGTAGATTTACTTCAAGGACTGAAAGTGTGTGTTCAAATCGGTGATTAAGTTTGTGAAAAGGAATCGTAGTTCTCATCTCTCTTCACTATTTAAGCTTCTCTCAGAACAATTCCCACCCCCACCCCCGCTATTTCCTGTGTCAAACCTGAAAACTACAGATGTGACCAGAAATTTCTCACGGTCCATCAATCTGAGAAACTGGGGGTTCTCCCTGTGTCAGTTTCTGAATTATGAAGTGTCATATGTACCAAACACAAAGATGGAAACCTTGAATTTGGGGGACTCTGGAACATCCGGTTAAAGAAAAGGAGACAAAGGCTTTACCCGTTTACCACTTGTCTAAAGTTCTTTGTCTTTCTGCTATTCTAAGGAGATTTGGATCTTCAAACCAAGGATCTTACTGAGGTGACTGTTACAGACTGAAGAGATAAAATGAAGATGGGAAACTGTTCTTCTGAGCTGCCTGCAATTTTGCACTTTCCACTTAATTCTGCTTTTAGAAATGTATGAGGAAGCAATGGTGCTTCAGAGGTAAATAGGGCTGACACTTCTGGTTTTTGTCAGCGCAGCAGCATGTGAATTGCTGATCGTCCTTCTAAAACTACAGAAAATTGTGTTGCTGGTCAGCACTTCAAGGGGTTATCCGAGTACATCACATACATTCTGTGACTTTGTGTACCATTTCTCTGAATCTCCCTGCCCTTAATTTCCTCAAAATGTTATGTGTACATGCATAGATATGTACATCAATTTATGCATTAAACGTCCGTTGTTATAATAGCTGAGTTAACTTCTCTTTTCCTCGAAGTGAAGAGCAAAGCAGCTGCATGGGGGCACTTAAGATTCAACCATGTCTCATCTTATCAAACCGAGATTGTGACCATCCAAATGCAGCCATTGCAACTTGCAGCTGAAAAGCGTGATGCATTATTATTTTTTGCTGGACTGAACAGATGGGGCGGGGGACTAACAGCACAATCTTGTACAGTCATACCTCAGGTTATAGACGCTTCAGGTTGCGTTTTTTCAGGTTACGGACCGCCGAAACCCGGAACTACCGGGAAGGGTTACTTCTGGGTTTTGGCGGTCGCACATGTGCAGAAGTGCTAAATCACGCTTTGCGCATGCACAGAAGTGCTGAATCGCAACCCGTGCGTGCGCAGACGCAGGTTGCGAGGGCTGCGGGTTGCGAATGTGCATCCCGCACGGGTCACGTTTGCAACCTGAGCATCCATTGTACATGTTTACTCAGAAGTAAGAGCCACTGGGTTGTATTCAACGTAGCACTAGGTTCTGATAGTACAAGGATTTCTGCTTATGCAGAACTACCCCCCCACTAGACCTCCTCAAATTGGTTTCACGGGTTTCCAATCCCCCCAAGCAGATTTGGGGAGGTCACACAGAGTATGCATGGGGAAGAGAGGAAGTCCCATTGTGCTGGAGGGAATCATTGTGCCAACAGTTGGCAGAATATTGCCTATTGTGTACAGGACTGGAGCCTAGGGCTGTGCGATATCTGGTTTTCAACATTGTTATATATCACCAGCTAAGCACTGTGATATACCAACATATCAGGTGTCTGAAATAAGGTTTTCCCCCGTATCGTGATTTTTGCCGGTGCCTGCTCTTGTGATTCGCTGCCCCCCTGCATGAGGCAGGAAAGAGCTGAGCCAGCAAAGTCAACAGGGTCTGCAGGAATCGAGAGAAGCATTGGCTGGCTTCACGGTTTTCCCCACATTGTGATTTTTGCACAGCAGATAGACACACCACGATTCGTGATATATCGTCCAAGATTATGAAACCGGTATCATGACTTCAAACCAGTTTTGGATGATATATCACCCAGCTCTAACACACATCATGATTCGCCATATATTGGTGAGGACAAAAATTATGAAACAGGTATCAAACCGGTTTGGATGATATATCGCCCATCCTAATACCATCATGGCTAAGCCCTTATCCTCCACGAATTGTCTAACCCTCTTTTAAAGCCATCCAAGTTGGTAGCTATCATGACATCTCATGGGAACAAATTCTAAGAGCCAAATCACATGTCTCAAGTCCTGGTGAACCCAATGAACCATGGGGGCTCATGACCCTCCCTGGCACTTTGTACAAGAGGCCAAATTCTTTGCCTCCTTGGATTAATATCCAAGGGAGGAAAAGAATTCCTCGCTTTCCCTTCCTCCCCTTCTCGTCAGTTTCTGGCCTGCAGCAATGATGATGAACAGCAACAGAAGCACTTGGGGAGGTGAGGAAGGAGAGCTGAAGTTCTTCTCCACCAGCTCCCTCTCTGTTCCAGCTGTTCCTCCTTTGTAGGAGGGGGACGCAGCTCTTGGGTCTCAGCAGCTGGAAGTATTTGCGTGCCAACTCTCTAGGCTTCTGTTTCATCGGAGGCGTTTCTGAGTCTGTCATTTCTGCCTGAGCATGTGGATACAACCGTTCAACACAAGTTTCTTATGCACTTTCTGCTTCACCTAATCTCGCACAAGCGGACACTTCGAAGCACCCGTGGGAAGCATTTTCTGGCTTGGGACAGCACAGATGAAAGACAACAATAGCAGGAGAGGATTTTGAAAGCACACCAGGTTAAGGAATCCTAGTTTTCACCAGGCTGCACAACTTACGGGTTGGGGTTCAGGGGACGGGGTTTGTAAAAATGTTACATGGAAGAAGAAAAAATACGAGAGAGAGAGAGACATTGCACACACTTTTGTAAATCAAGAAAATCTTTAAAATAAATAAATAAATAAATAAATAAATAATCTTACCAATTAATAATAATAATAATAATAATAATAATAATATTTATACCCCAGCCACTCTGGGCAGCTCCCAACAGAACACTAAAAACAGAATAAAACTTCAGACATTAAAAAGTTCCCTAAACAGGGCTGCCTTCAGATGTCTTCTAAAAGTCAGATAGTTGCTTATTTCCTTGACATCTGATGGGAGGGCGCCACTACCGAGAAGGCCCTCTGCCTGGTTCCCTGTAACCTCGCTTCTCTCAGGGAGGGAACCACCAGAAGGCCCTCAGCGCTGGACCTCAGTGTCTGGGCTGAATGATGGGGGTGGAGACATGCCTTCAGGTATACTATGCCTAGGACGTTTGGAAACTTCAAAGGTCAGCTTTTATGAGCAGCTGCACAATGATCAGATGGCATCTTTTTCCAGCTATGAGAAGCATATTGTTGACAAGCAATGACTTCCCTGTTCTCTGTCCTCTGTACCTTTATTCAAAAGCCCAGGGGTTTTCCAAAAGGAACACCATGAACAACAAACTTAGTGACTCTAGCAATAATGCGCAACACAAAAATTAACCAAGGGTCTTTTTCAAAGGAACCACAGCCATCTGCTTAGCTTACACAATTATAAGGGCAATGAGGAACAGTAAACATTATTTATAGGGGTTGGTTCCAGGCAGTCACACTTCCCTAATGTCAGGCTGTGTCTAACACGGATGTGCAATTACTCCTAAGGAGAGCCTTTCAATTGTCATATATCCACGTATATGTTTGAAGATACACTCAAGGGTCAATCCAAACACCTGGCCAGCAGCAAGAGGACTTGTTAGTCTCCACCACTTCTAGGCTGGTGAGGCAGAGAGGGCCTGGATCAGGCCCTGTGCCATCATGTGGCGGTAGCAAGGACAGCATGGCAGGTAGCAGATGCTGCGTCAGTCCAGTCCAGCCCAGCCCCCTCCTCTCCCCTGAAACCCCTCATTTTGGGGTTGTTCTGTTGGTGCTACCAGTAAGAATGGCACTGGCAGTAGCTTCTACCTGCCTTATGGACAGGCAAATTGGGAGGCCAGCAAGATGGTCATTTCCCCCTCATCCAAACTCCTCCAGCATGGCTCTGCCAGCTTTAAAAGCATATTTATGAATGATTTAGTGTGGATAAGTGGCAAGACGACCCTAAGCATTTGAAACATGTAAGAACCATTCCCCTACACCAGAGTGCTTTCGTAACACATCCCTTTGCAGTTGTCCCAACCTGCGAACTATATTGATTGTTGAATTGGCGGCTACATTGCTGCTATCTTCTTCTTCTTTGACGATCACACATAGCCGAGTAGGATTGTCTTCTATGAACATGGTCTTAACAGTGAGTCCGTAAGTGATTGTGGAGGCCAATTCTGGATCCGCACGTCCTTCCACAGTGGGGACATAGGTTTCTGGGCGGGAGTCAATCACGGTGAGGGTTTGCCAAATGTGCCTTCCTCTTAGCACGCTTCTCCCTTTCATCCTGAGTTTGAGCATCTTCACAGTCCATGAGACTGACTGCTATCTATACAAGCAGGTGGGTATCTCTTTCACAGGTATTGTGCATCAATGTTCTCAACTCCCTCCCCTCAGTTTGTGTTTCCCAGTGCAATTTCACTAGAAAAAGAGGTGCTGGAACTCACCATGAACACCTCCCTCATTCTCTTAGAATGGCAATGGCGTCCACTTGATAGATGCCAGAACTGAGTTCCATATAGTTAAAGCTATGGTTTTCCCAGTAGTGATGTATGGAAGTGAGAGCTGGACCATAAAGAAGGCTGATCACTGAAGAATTGATGCTTTTGAATTATGGTGTTGGAGGAGACTCTTGAGAATCCCATGGACTGCAAGAAGATCAAACCTATCAGTTCTTAAGGAAATCAGCCCTGAGAGCTCACTGGAAGGACAGAAGGAAGCTGAGGCTCCAATACTTTGGCCACCTCATGAGAAGAGAAGACTCCCTGGAAAAGACCCTGATGTTAGGAAAGATGGAGGGCACAAGGAGAAGGAGACGACAGAGGATGAGATGGTTGGACAGTGTTCTCGAAGCTACCAGCATGAGTTTGACCAAACTGCGGGAGGCAGTGGAAGACAGGAATGCCTGGTGTGCTCTGGTTCATGGGTCACGAAGAGTCGGACACGACTAAACAACAACAACAAGAATTGAGTTCTGGTGAGTTCCAGCTGAAAAAAAATCCCTGGTGTTTCCACACCCCATTGCAGGCATGTGTGCATGTATTTATTTATTTACTTGTATGTACAAAATTGTATATATTTTTTTTAATGAGATATACGTTTTCCAGTCTACCAGACTCGTGTGTATGTCCTGCCTGACCTCTCCAGTAGGTCCACTGTCCCTGAGTTCTGGAAGCCTGAGGTTCATAGACTCATGGAAACCAATGACCTCAGTTAGCCATGCCAATTAATTTTGCCGAGGCTACTCTGAGTAGGAGTAGCATTGCTACAACCATTTATCCCCTTTTCTCAATTAAAAGTCCCTTTTTGCTTTAAAAGGGAACTATATCAAAAGCCTAGTTCTTGGAGAAAGTGAACAATCTTTTTTGGAAGAAAAACCCAAACCCTAGACCAACATATTGGGTTAAGGAACTAGATCCACCAGCGGAAGGATTTCTCATGCAACAGAACTTCACCCCCTCCCCTCCGCTTGCCCCCTAAATCTGTTAAAGGGGTTCCAAAGCCACAGACCAGATTGCGGTGGCTCAACAGGGGAGGAGAGCTGGGACGCCCCTTTGTAAGCCTTGCTCCCACAGGAAGTTTTAGTTAAATATTGCTGCTATAAATATTGCTCCAATCTGGACTTGCGTCACCCTTCATTACTTCATCAAAACCCTGGATTCCTTGTAAGCAGCAGCAGACATCTTACTAGGAAAGCTCTTAGCATCAGAGAAGCTTGCAGCACTTGGGACTTTTCAGTTTGGAGAAAATGTGAGTGATGGCATGATATAAGTTTATAAACGTTGCCTTTTTGCATGGCATAATCAGATAGGAAAAGTCCCATG